AATAAATAAATAAAGTCACTTTTTTGCACTCTAATTCGTTTTTGAAAAAAATTGTTTTTTTTGTTTCCCCCCCCTTCTTCTCCAATCCCCCCCTTTAAAATTGATTTTACCACCACCCTTTACTATTCACCCCCTAAAATATATGTCATACAAAAAGGAAAAAAATCATAAACCCCTCAAAAAAAACCTACAATTTTAAAATTTAATTACAGAGCGCGACAGAAAAATAAAAAAAAAATTATTTTTTTTTTTTGAAATCGTTTCCATAGTTTTTTCTTCTTCTTTTTCCTCTTAATTATTAAAAACGGTGCTAGGTAGTAACAATCTATACAAGATTCTTTTATTTAAAAAAAAAAAAAACCCGAAAATAATAATAATAATAACGGGGAGACCAAAGAAAAAGAAAAACAAGGCAGGTAAAAACAATAATTCAAAGGGGAAAAAAATAATTTTTTTGTCTTCTTTTTGTTCAAGGTAAAAAATTAAAAAAAAAAAGTTTTTTTTTAAATATTTGCAATTACCAAATAAGAATTTTAAATGTTTGTCAGGTAGCATCATCGAAACATAATAATAATAATAATAATAAAACATTTACTTAGTCGATAACTTTTCTCTTATGTTTTACTAACAACCAACTACGACGACGACGACGACATTTTTTATTATTTAACGCAAAAAAAAAAAATTATTTCAAATCATTACAACAACAACAACAACCACAACAACAAACAACTTTATCATTACAAATTTTTTTTTTAACGGTTTCTCTTTCAAAATAGTCATCTATGGTTAAAAAAAAAAAATCGGTCGCCCAAAAAAAAAAAATTTATTACAAAATAACGTGAAATGAAATTAAAAAAATTTTTTTTTTTTTTTTTTTTTTTTTTTACTTTCGTTTTGTTAAAATAAATTTTTATTTAAAATATCACACGTGATAAAAAAAGCAAAACATATTATTTATAAATAATATTTATTGACCGCGCACTCACTCACTCACTTTTACCAAAACTTTTAAATAATTACAAAATAATAATAATAAAAATTTACCCGTTAGGAAAAAAAAAGAAAAATTCTTGTGTTTACCCAAAAAAATTATTTAATTTATTTATTTATTTATTGTCGTAATAATAATAATAATAATAATAGCTACGTTTTGTATTCGTATACAAGCAGAATAAAATTTTCGTTTCGATAAACAAATGAAAATAAATTAATTAATAACAACAACAACAGCAACAAAAACAAAAACAAAAAAAAAAAAAATTTCAAAACGTGTAATTTATTTTTATTATTATTATTATTATTATTATTATTATTTTAATTAAAAAACAAAAAAAATGAACATATATTAGGAAGAAGAAGAAGAAGAAGAAGAAAAAGTGTGCGTGCGTGTGTAAATAATAATAATAATAATAATATTTGTGTGATTTTTTATTTATTATTATTATTATTATTATTATTAATTTTCAAATAAAAGAAAAAGAAAAAAAAAATTTAAAATGAAAAAATTTCCTTTTTTGAAATAAAAAAAAAAAAAAAAAAAAAAAAAAAAATGTTTTCAAAAAAGGCTACTCCTATACTATCCATGTATGTTTTATTTTTATAATGTCGACAACTTTTTTAAAGAGTAAGATCACGATGACATTTTGTTTTTTTTTTTAATAATAATAATAATAATAAAAATTAATTATTACATTTTTCGATATCATGTATTATTATCATTATTATTTATTGATTTTTTTTTAAAATTTAAATAGAATATAAAGTTTTAAGTCAAATTGGAGAAGGATCTTTTTCTGAGGTATTAAAATGTCAGGAACGAGAAACAGGAAATTTATTTGCAGCCAAAAGGCTCAAAAAAGATTATCATTCGTGAGTTTATTTATTTATTTATTTATTTTTGAAAATAATAATAATGGTTTAAAAGCTGTTTAAGCGATTTTTATATTTTAGTTTGGCGGAAGTTACGGAAAGTCCGGAAGTGATTGCAATGAGAAAATTAAGCCATCATCCAAATATATTACACATAATAGAATTCCACGTGTGAGTTTATTAATTTACAAAAATGAAATTCCATCATCATTATCATCATCATCATCATCATCATCATCATCATCGCATGTCCCAGATTTTCCTCACGTACCATTAACCCCATTTTTTTTTTTCCAGAGATCCCATTCCAGGAAAAGTTACATTCATTTTCGAATTAATGGAAATGAGTTTATACGATATGATGAAAAATAGAAAGAGGTAATTAATCCACAAGTCCCCCAAAAAAAAAAAAGTCACGTGATTTCCAGTATTAAAAAAAAATTTTCCTTTTTAGACCTTTACCGGAACTAAGAGTTAAAAGATATTTATATCAATTATTAAAAGGATTAGATCATCTCCATCATCATGGAATTTTCCATAGAGATATTAAACCGGAAAATATACTTATAAAGGTAGACGACGATTTCAAATTATACTACTCCATGAGTATTTTACAACAATACCTGATGATGATAATAATGATTTTTTGATACTTTTCAGAACGAAATAATTAAATTAGCCGATTTGGGTTCGATAAGAGGAGCCTACAGTCGACCACCTTATACCGAATATATATCGACGAGATGGTACAGATCTCCGGAATGTTTATTAACAACCGGATATTATGGACCTAAAATGGATGTCTGGGCTTGTGGTTGCGTTTTTTACGAACTTTTAACGTAAGTTTCCACTTAATTATCACCTTATAATAATAACGGATAAAGTTTTTAAAAAAAGAAAAAAAAGAAAAAAAAAATTAAACAATACAATTTATAAAAATTTATTACACTCATTAAACACAACATCAACAAAGTAATATTAGAAAAAAAAATCAATAATAGTAGTAATTATAATAATAATAACAAATTTATTTATTTATAATAATAATAATAATAATTGTGATATTTTAAACAAAACAAAACCAACAAAACCCTTCATATTTGTTGCTATTTTACAATTTGATCTCTTCATCACCACAGTCGCTCTTTTTTTTTTTTTTTTTTTCGCAACTTTTAAAATTAAACAATATTAATAATAATAATAATAATAATAATAATGATAAAATTTACATAAATTCATACGAATTATATTTATAACGAACGAACGAACGTAAAAAAAAAAATATAATAATAATAAACATTTCAACAACCCAACTATTTATATTACCTATTATTATTAATATTTTATTATTATATATATATTTATGGATACGATATTAATAAAAATACATTTACATTTTACCACGTACATAATATACATAAATATTATGTACGTATTTAAATGTAAATAGAAAAAAAAAAAAAAAACAAAAAAAAAAAAAGTTTAATAATAATACAATCGATTAATTGTCAATAAAGAGATCTTTTTTTTTTTTTTTTTTTTTTTTCTAATCGGAATCTTATAGCTTTTATTTATTTTTTTTTTCCCAACTTTTTCAACAAAAAAAATTAAAATAATAAAAATATTAAAAAAAAAAAAAAAAATATTAAAAAAAGTAAAAAAAAAAAAAAAGTTTAACATTTCGACGAGCAAATTTTTTTTTTTTTTTTTTTAAATTTTCTCTTTCAATTATTATTATTATTTATTTTTTTTTTAGTACATTTATTTATTTCGGGGGGACTTTTTTTTTTTTTTAACATTAATTATTAATTAATTAATTAGTGTTTCATTTTTATTTTTAAAAGCTAAAAAATCCCTGAGATCATGCGTAGTAAATTTAATTATTTGTACACAAATAAAATCGGATAAAAAAGAAAAGAAAAAAAAAAAAAAAACAAAAACAAAAACTAAAAAAAAAAAACGTAACGGGCCTATTCAAATTGTTCCTGGACAATAAATTCCGCGAATCCGTATTCATTCTCCCCCGAAAAAAAGGGATTCCCCTTATCTTGACCTCTTTTCCCTTCCCTCTCCCCGGGTAAAAAAAAATCCCGATTTTTGAAAAACAAAAAAAAATTATATAAAAGTTTTTAAAAACAAATTTTTTTTTTTTTTTTTCTCAAGAACGAATTTAACATCTAACGTGTGTATTTTATCATTATTATTATTTATATATATATATTTATATAAATTATAATTTACGACCACTATATTCATTATTCATTTTATTTCGAAAAGAAAACGTGATTGCATATTATTATTATTTTCCGATTATCACATTCGCGAGAAAACATTCATTTTTAAATTTTATTACATCCTTTCATAATTATTTATTTATTTATTTATTCACGTTTCAAAGAATTTATTAATAAATTTATGTATTCATTTATATATATATATATATAATGACAAATGAAATAATTAAAAACTTATTCTTATATTTCTAATATTTATTATATACGATCACAGACTGATGACTTTTTAAAACATTTCTGTTTTATTTAAAAAAAACGCGTAAAAAAAAAAAAAAAAAAAAAAAAACAATAACAATAACAGAAAACAAATTATTATTATTATCATTATTATTATTATAACAATTTTATTTTGTTAATAGAACGAAACCATTATTCCCAGGAACGAATGAAGTAGATCAAATAACTAAAATTCACGACGTTTTAGGAACACCCAATACGAGACTATTAGCTAAATTTTATCGTCAGTAAGTACTGAAAAGTTTTTAAAGTTTACAACCCCCCACCCCCATCCCACCCCTCCCCGCGTATCGATTACATCATTTAATATTTTATTTTATAAATTAAAAATATTCGTTATAATATTTTCATATTTCGAAATTGAGCAAAAAAATTTTTTTTTTCTTTTTTTTCTTTCTAAAGATTTTATTAAACGACTTACTCTAATAGATAATTAATAAAAAAAAAGAAAAAAAAATTAAAAAATATAAATCTATATATGTAAAATAAAATAAAATAAAATAAAATAAAAGACAAACGAAAAATAAAAAAAAATAATAATAATAATAAATCATCTATAAACTATTTTTCCATTAATTATTATTATTATTATTATTATTATTATTATTATTTAAAACGAACCGTTTTCTCTCTCACACACACACTAATAAATATAAAATTTATAAGCGTTTTTTTGTTTTCTCTCTCTCTTTCCCCCTCCCCCCGCTACATTTTGACTATTCTGATTGCTATATATATGTACTCAGAAATAATAATAATAATAATAATTAAAAATTAAAACGCTATAAAAGTAATAGAAATATTAATAATAAAAAAAAACAAATTTCATACTAACAACCTATTAAACTAATCATGTGATATTTAAACTATACATATAAAAAAGAAAAGAAATTTATTATTATTATTATTATTTTTTTTTTTTAAATTTTCCAGCAAGTCCCGGAACTGTGAATATTTCTTTCAAGCTAAAACAGGCTCGGGACTCTCTTGTCTTTTAACAAATCTCACCGATAACGGGAGAGACATACTTAAGCAAATGTTAACATACGATCCGGAACATAGGATAAACGTTCGCAGACTTTTGGAACATCGTTATTTTAATGATTTGAGGTGATTGACTAATTGATTGACTCATTGATTGCTTTTACGTTAGGCTTAGAGAATTTTTTAAAAAAAAATTAATTAATTTTTTCACTTGACTTGACAGAGAGCAAGAGCCGATTTTGTTGAAAAAGCCAGTTCCCGTTTCTCAAAGTTTTACAACGAAAGAATGGAGGAATCCTTTGCTATTGAGCTTGATAACGTCGGGCGAGAAAAAAAAGAAAACGAAATTATTGAAAAAGAGAACGGCACCTCAGAAATCCTTGAAACAAAATACGATTTCAACTCAATCTCTGAGAGGAGCATCCACATTGATTTCCGGGTCGAGCGCGTCCAAAACGCTTCCTCTCCTATGCAGCGGAAATCAGGAGAAATCCCTCGGATCCAACTTGAGCAAAATGGAAAATTATTCGAGTAAAAAATTGGATAAATTATTGGGAGCCGAAGAACAATTGTCAATGAGATCGTGGGTCTCCAGCGGCAAAATTTCACACACCGAATCAAAGGTATTCCATAAATAAATTTTATGTCTCTACTAAACGCATAAACGAAAAAAATAACTTACCTTCGGGAAAATTTTTTAAAAATTTAATTTAAACAATAAAAAAAAAAAGTTTTTTTTTTTTTCACTTTTCATTTTTTTCAGAGCGAATCCCGGCCCATGAAGCGAAAACCATCATCGCAACTTCCAAAAGTTTGTAAAGTCCAACAGCAAAGTTCAAATGTCAACGTGCCTAGTTTCCAAGTGTACGAATCTCAACCGAAAGAATATTTCGACTTTGGAAGGTAAGAAAAAATTTTCTTTTATAAATTTTTACATTGCGTTAAGCGTTGTTCTTGTCGTTGTCGTTCGCAACAATTTTATCCTCTTCAACTTTGACCCTGAAAAAAAAAAAAAAAAACAAAAATCAATAACGATTTTTTCCCTCCCATCTTTCTCCCTTTTTTTTTTTTCAAGCGTTACATTGCCTAACATTAATCAAAGACGTTCGGATCATATGGTTCAAAGGCGATTGCAACAAATAAATAATTATTCGTCAAAAATAAACGTTTTGACCACGATTCCCGAAAGGGGTAAAACATATGGAGTTCGTGGAGAATCTCCAAGTGATTCCAGCAGCGCAGAAGGAATTATAAAGAAACCTAGGGGAATGTAACAGTGTGTATCCTGCTCTTTTTCCTTTCCAATAAATTTACCGTGAAATAATAAAAAAAAAAAAAAAAAAAAAAAAAAATCAAAAATCAAAAGAGGCTTAATAACGATTAATAGCTTAATGCTATTAATCATTATTTTACAAAATTGAAAGAAAAAAAACAAAAAACAAAAAAACAAAACAAAACAAAAAAAAAAAAAAAACAAAATGAGAAAAAGAGAAAAAGAAAAAAAAAAGTAATAGGGCTTTTAATTAAATCAATAATTATAAATATATAAATATATAAACGTATATAATTTACGATAGAGTGGTAGAATATAGACAACGTCATATAAAGTTTTATATTGTTTATAGTAAGAAAATAAAAAAAATCATACCTTTTTGGTCAAGTGCCTAAATTTGTATGTAAACAAATATGAAACTTAGAATTAAAATTTTTTTCCTAACGCATGACGACGCTCACGAAGGTTATTCCTTGAGAATGATATTATTATTATTATTATTATTTTTTTGACCGGGAATATAAACGTAAGAAATGTTTAGTAAGACTGTTGAAAAGTGCGGACATGGCCACACAACTCTCACGCATGCTTATAAGTAGCATATAAACATACATTGAAAATTCATTTTCGCGAACAAGGTATTTAAGGTTTTCAAATCTCACACAAAACCTGATTAGCTCTGTTGGGAATAAAATTAAGAAGATGCGGATATGAATAAAATATTTCTTACCTTTAAATTCGGCGATAAAATCGCGTGCATTATTTCTACGGTTACAGTTTTCCTTTACAAATCTTCGGATAAAAGATCAGTTTTATAAATGGTAACTCTCAACATTCCGGGATTAACGACGGAAAATCTTTAAAAAAAAAAAACAAAAAAAAAATTTAATGTTTCGTAAATGCAAAAAAAATTTGAAAATTTGAAAACAAATTTATACCTTAGCTGACGTTTCGTTAATTTTTTCACGACGGCAGGTTTAATTTTAGATTTTCCTTTAAAACTGTGTTGTCCCCTTCCGGTTATTAAATCTAACGTTGCGGATGTCAAGGATTTTTTTCTTAATGTTTTAATGTGATGATCCAGAAAAAGATCGAGGATTTGTAGAGCCTCGGGAACCATTAGAAAATGTAAATCTATTTTTGTCATTCCCTTATTATTTTTATCATCGAAAAGAGTCGGCGGAAATGGTTCTCTGTTCAGTTCTTTCATTCTCTCTTTATATAAGCTCGCCTTAAATTTTTATTAATACATATAAAAAATTATTATTATTATTATTTGGTAGTAATCTTATCTCGATTCTGCGTTATCATAATGTTTTTTTTTTTTTTCTTAAAAACATTTTTATTAATAATTAATTATTTAAAGCAAAAAAAAATCACATTGTAAATTTTTTTTTTTTTTAAATACTAAATAATAAAATCTTATATAAACCTACTAAATAAGAAAAATACGATGCGACCGAATAACTTTTTTTTCTAGAAGCTTCTTGAGCCAAACGAAGACAATCATTTCTTTGCTGTAGTAAGAGGGATGCTTTTTGACGATATTCTATCGGATCGACCATTAAAATATTTTTATCCCCGGATACTTTTTTTTTCGTTACTTTCGGCTTTACGACTATAAGCGGTTTTTTAGTTTCTTCGACGTTCTTCTAAAAATATATAACGGAAAAAAAAAAAAAAGAGAAAAAAAAAAGAAAAAAACGGCCGGTGATGACATGATCGAAACCTTTTTCGGGTCGAAATTATACCTCAAGCTTTTCCGATTTGGCTTGTTCTAATAAAATATTTCCCCGGGAAGCCAAAAAATCAGGTGCGACCATTGTTATGGGAGATGAATTTTCTTGTGAGCTTAATACATCGATAGTTCTTTGAAACGATCTTCCCTCACTTTCAAATAAATCTAAAAGCATTTTCTGATCCATCTTTGGAAAAGCTTCAAATAAAAGTTGTTTTGATAGTTTTGTTGCAAATGTTTCTCGGTTATTGTCATGCATATGGGCCTTGAAATAAATAATATAAAATAAAAAAAAAAAAATAATGATAGAAAAATGAAAATAATAATAATAATAATAATAATAATAATAATAATAATAATAATAATAATAATAATAATAATAATAATAATAATAAAAATAAATATATAAATAAAAACACAAAACTTATTAAAGGATTAACATGAGAATAAACTATCGTGATTTTTAACGGATATGATTCGAAAAACAATGAAAATGAAATTACATAAAAAATTAAATATAAATAAATAAATAAATAAAAAACAAATAAATAAATTGACATTTAAATGCAACAATTCAAATCAAATTTTCACAAGTCAAATGTGAAATTTGTTTTTTTTTTTCTCAAAACAACCGTATTTTGGGTTTTTTTTTTTTTTTTGTTTGCGAAAAGAATCTTTTGATTTTTTTTTTTTTTTTTTTAACCTTTCCCTTAATCTGATCATAAATTTATTATTAATACCTGATTTTGTTTGTACAACAACATGGCCAATTCCATATCCATTATTTCGCGTAAATCCGGTTGATGGTATTCAAATTCTTGTTCTTGTAGTGCAAGAGCTAAAAGTTCATTTTCGTTTGCCATTTTGTCATAAGCACTTTGCATGTCTTCCCAATGTTTGTTGACGTTTTCAACCCAACAATCGTAAATTTGCTGAGCTAAAGAAAATGGAATGTTTATAATTGGCGAATCGAAACCTGAAATAAGAAACCATTTAATTTAATTTTTTTTTTTTTTTGGTAATAATTCGATATTTTTAAATTGGTAAATGATGACAGAAACTCACTAGATTGTGCATTGCAAGTATTTCCCTCTGAAGATCCGAATATTTGAGTGAGGATTCCGAAAAATTCTGAATCTAGTTTCATTGGAATGGTTTCTTCTTCCTCGTCGTCATCGCTTTCTTCTAAATCTTTCACTTCTTCTAAATTTTCATTCGGGTTTTCCGATGGAGGATTTATGGGTCCGTCACCAAACTCGATTTCTCCGTGGCGAAGTTTTTTCAAAAACAATGTTTTATCTTGATAAAGATCCTCGTTTATTTGAATGCTTTCTTCGATTTGTTTTTTGAGTAAAAGAGACGATTCACTCACTGCTGATTTTTTATCTTTTCGTCTTCTGATTGTCTTTTTACCATCGGAAATATTAACATTTTGAAGAGAAACGTAATCGGCATGATTTGTTATCGCATTTTCTTCTTGAGCAATCGAACTTCTTTCTTCGGTATTTTCAGCCAAGTTTTGTGGTGTCTCCAGCAGTACTTCTATCGCCCAAATGAGATTGCCCTTACATTTGTCAAACACGTAGGATAAATGTTCTTTTGGAATGTCAGGAAACATTCCGCATAAAGTTTCAATGGCGTTATCCCTTTCGACGTTATTCATTTCTTCAATATCTAAAGTCATCGAACCTTTATCCAACATCAAAACCGTTGAAACGTTATTGACTGGGTTATCCGGTGTTTTATAATTTTCATTTATGTTTCTGCTACAAGTATTTAATTTAATTATTCCTTTTTCATCTTTCCGCCAAAGATCGAAATCTCCGAGAAGAGTAATGGTAGACGAATCTGATTTTAATGTTGATTTTCTCGGTGGTTTGGGAAAAGTTGGAATCTGTAACTCTGGAGGTTTCTTACTTACGTCCTCCCAAGACGATGTAAAAGGTATAGAAGACCATGATAAATCCACACTTCGAAGCAGTTCTTCCGGAGATTTATCTCGGGTGTTTGCTCCCGTTTTTTTAATAGCTCCCAAATAATCGTTTCTGGGTCTTGCTTCTTTAGGACTGTCATCATCTTTTCTCTGTTCTTTATTAATGGTCTGATTCCAAGAATTTACAACGGCTTCGAACTTTTCTTCTAAGGTTTCAGAACACCATTCAGAGCAATCCGTCGCACTTTTTGATTTTTCTGAAGAAGGATTTTCTTTGCGGGTAGTTTTTTTTACATCGGCTAATAATTTAGTGTCAGTATAATTGTAGACAGGAACAGAAGGAAGGGGCACTTCTTCTAGGTCTGGACTTTGTTTTAATTCAAATGTACTTTTGACTGAATTTGATTCTTCAGAATCCGCAGCAGATATTTTATCAATGTCATCCGCACTGTATTTTTTTACTAAACTTTGTAAAAGTGATTTATTTATAGGAACAACATTTGTCATATCGCCGGCTTTAGATTCTAAGTTTTTAGCTAAATTATCGAAGCGTTTATTAAAAACGTCTAGTAGAGAATCGGATAATTCGACTTGTGGTGGACCACAATGCGAATTTAAAGACGCATTATAGACAGAACTATCAACAGTGGTTTGAGGGCATGCCTTAGGACAAATTCCGGATGCTGTGTCCAAAGCGTCAACAGATGATCCGTGACTTTTCTTACCATCATCCAATAATACATTTCTCAAAGACATTTGTAAAGACAACATTTGACTTTCCTCTTCTTCTGAACTAGGCGATTCTTCCCCCGAACTTTGATTTTCAGTTCCATCGTAATTCAGCAAACTTAAATCTTCTTGACTTAGATAATTTTGCATAACGCAAGCACCTAATGGCATTGCCGACGATATTTCATTAGATTTATTATTTTCATTTTGATTGCCTTTTCTTTCCATTCCCCTAATAAAGTCGTAGTCCTCGGATGGATCTTCGCCAATTACAAAACGTCCAGTGTCACTATATTCTAAATATTTTTGCATTTCAATCGATTTAGATAAATCTCCATCATTGTCAGTTTCGTATTCACTAGTTTCGGAAGCGTTAGAAGAGGAAATTGTGTCTGGTTCAACAGATTCTGACACTGATTCTCGGCGATGCACGTGGTACGCGTGCATTGGACTCATGGTATTTTCACTAGTAGAGTCTGATTTTGTTTTAGGTAGACTTGTTGAAACATTTGCTTTTGGGAGTGGTAAAATATTTCCTTGAAGTTTCCTCATTCTCGATACAACGAGATTAATAGGTAATCCACTTTCAATTACTTTTTGTTTTGAAACTGGATCCATGGTTTTCCCATATTCCGCAAAAAGTTTATTTAATTCCTCTAATTGCTTTTCCTTATCTTCAGTAGTTTCTTCCCCATTTGAATAAGCCGACTCTTTTTTTTTTGGAGTATTTTTTTTTCGTTTAGGTTTTTCCGGTGCATTTATTACAGCGTGTTGCCTATGCTGATCGAGAAGAGAATTAGTAGGACGTTTAATTTCTTGATGAGCGGGAGTTAAACTGCTAGTTTTGTATTTCAGTCCAAAGGATTTAATTAATTTTTCGCCCGTCCAACCCGGTTCATATCGATCCAACATTTGACGAATTTTTTCCCGAGGAACAGAATGAATATTTCTTTTTGCCAGCTCGGCTTCTTTATTTCTCCATTCCGTGACAGGCTCAAGAACTTCCACTACATAATCATGATCTACTGCCATCATTACATATGGCTGCATTTCCCATGATTGGGTATTTGTATTATCTATAACAATTGGATTAATTCCTCTTTTAAGTGATTCAGATGTTCTTTTTTGATTCCAGTTATGAGCTTGTGGAAGTAAATTGTAATCATATGCATAAATTCCCCTTCCTAACATGATAAAGTAATCATCTGTACTCAGAATATGCTGACTCAAATCATTTTCTGTCATCAAACTGACAACCATTTGAGCTAAATGACTTTTTCCTGATCCTGGCATTCCTCTCATAATAATCATTACTTTGATGCCATTTTGTATAAGTTGTTGAATTCTTTTTATTGATGCATTTGCTTTTCTTACATCGCTTTCAGCTGGTTTTAAAGTAGATTTTGGTATATCTGGAGTTTTTAATTTAAGGTTTTCTTTATTGTTTGGTGGTATCATAGTCAATAGTCCAGGACTCTGTGGTTTGCTTTTATAATGTCTTTGCCAAACTTGTCCTGAGGAAAGAGAACTTGTGCTACTGTAGTGAGAAGTGTTTGTTCCATATAAATTTTTTTCTCCATTGGATTTTTCCTGCTTTAACGTTCCTGGCAAACTTTTGGCTTTATTTTTTGTACCATTTTTTGGATGAGATTTTAAACTTTTACTTTTTTTGGAATCCTTTTTCCCGCTTAATATCAATAATGCTTCAGTAGCAGTATTAACTGAAATTTAAAACCAATAATTGTAGTAGGATAATAAATAAAAAAGAAGGGAAGAAGTATATAAATGCAAAGTACTTATTCTTAGACAATAAAAGAAAAATAAATTGACATAATTTTTAAAAATATGTAATTATGTTGAATTAATTCTAGCAATCAGTGAAGTTTAACAAAGTAAATTATTAGGTGTGGTAATTTTAAAAGATATCTACAATTAAAAAAACCAAAGGTTAGTTACTTACTGTCCCATTCACAAGTTTGAGCAACGGTTGCAATTAATGATAAATCAAAATTATCCTGAAAAGTATTGTGCAGTTTTTTAACTATACTTTCCCTAAGCTTGGAATTACTACTATTAGGTTTGATAGGTTTTCTATCCTTGCTTTCTTGTTGTGTAGCAAAACTCTGTTTATTTCTTTTATAAGACATTTTTTTTATATTTGAAACTTATTTAAATTCAACGACCTTAAAAATATAACGGTAAAAAAAATAGTTTGTACTTTACTACTGCCATTATTAATTATAAAACTTGAAAAGCATAAAATTTTGCGCATTTTATTAAAGAAACTGAAAATCTACAGAATTCCTTTGCAGAATTTATTTTTGCCACTGAGCAATGTCTGAGCTTACAGAATAGCCAACATTAGAACTTTTATTTCAGTCGTTATTAAAAAAAAATAAAATTCAAAAATTGAGTCGGTGCGTCAAATTTTTAGTTTTTAAGTTCATTTCAAACATTTCAAGTGTTATTTTTGAAAAATAAAAAGCTTATACTAAAAATAAAATACTAAATTTTTTTTCAAGTTATTAGAAAAGCTTTTATGAAGATATCTTAGGGTTTTTATATTAATCAACAAGGCGTTGCCTAATGTAAAACAGTAGGCGAAAACAAAATTAAATTTATGGTTTCCTTGCATTATATTAAATTATTTTTATTTTGAATAAACTAGCTGTCTAGTTTTTCTTTTTATTTCGGGACAGAAATTCTAAATCAGGAGCTTAACTCTCTTCAATGCTGAGGGAACATGGTGTAGTTGGAGGTGTGAGTGTGGGGCTGACAATTTAATTATGCTCAAGATTTGACATTGATTTGTTGCTAGGGGTTGAAAACAGTGAAATTTTCACATTAATTGGGTACCCATACACTGTACTAGGGTAGAAGTATTTAAAATTGCATTCTTTTTATTAAAAAAAAACGCATGCACAAATACTGGCGTGACGATCGAATTTCGGGTAGTAAATCAGTTAATAATTTTCATAGGACACAATTGCGTTTTATACAATAATTATTAGCTTAATTTATTATTAATATCTTTATTTAAATTTTATTGATAATCTATTCAATATTCTTTACATTTCCATTTAATTTAAAATTTTTTTTAGATATCATTAGTTTAAAATCATTAATTGAAACAAAAAATAATAATAATTTTTAAGAATTTTCAATTATTTAATTCATATAACAATTTATGAATTTTTTTATGTTTTAAATGATAAACTTAAAATTTCTATGGCATTTTTAAAAGTCAGTGATGTACAAAAAGTGGAGTTTAGTGAAATATGATTTTTACTATAAAATATTGAATAATTTTTAATTATTAAAGGTAACCAAATCTATTTTTAAATTAAAAAAAGACTTGGAGTTTATCACTCAATTAATAAATTAGCCATGCCTCGAAATAAAAAGCGCCCTAATAACATAATGTGTCCCGATGAGGAAGACAAAATTCTAAGCAAGAGAGTAAGAAATACCAGGTAAGTTTTATAAAATATTTGCAAACATATATTTTAACTTTTTTTACTTTGAATTTTTAAAAAAAAATTTCAATTTAATGACAAAAATAATTAATGACAATTAATGTTCATGTTCTTCCCAAAATACTCATATAATATGCTTTTCTTTAGTAAAAAAGTTAAAAATTCAAATCGAAAAGAAAATAACGAATCTAAAACCTGTAATGAAGGCCAATTTACATAATTGTTGAAATATATTTTTATTTAAAATATTTTCAACTAATTTAAAAGAAAAAAAAATTCTTTTACAAGTATGAATATATATATATATATTATTATATTGAAATAATTTTTTGTAAATATATTTTAAATTCTCCTCAAACTAATATTATTATATTGCCTTTTTTTAAAAATTAATAGTTGACCTTTGCACTTAATTGAAAATTGATTAATTTATCTTTTGTAAATTTTGAATTCTCATAAAATTAATATTATTATTTTTATGTAATACTTTGTTCTTAATTAAATTAAATTAAATAATAAATAAGGTTCAAAATTCAAGTTTTTTTAGTTATGACAGTGCATACAGAAAAATTAAAAAAAAATTGCTTTTATGCTAAAAATAAACTGCCAATAGCCTTGAGACAAATAACATGCAGACCAATGAAATAGAAAGTTTTTGAAAAAGAATATATATATTTATATTTATATTTTTTTTTTATCAGAAAAAAAAAATTTCTTTATTGCTTTTTTATTAAAATGCCTTTTTAATTGGATTAGTATAACTATCATTAGTTAATAAAATATAACATTTTCTTTATAAAAATTTATTTATTAACTGTGTGGAATATTATATGAATGGGGGATTCCCACAGGTAAACAATTTGGAGTCATTACTTATTATTTTTGCATTACAGAATAAAATCAGATGATGAATTTTTATTTAGGAGAGTATCAAAGTCTGAAGACACATCCAGCTTTAGCCAAAAAAAATGTTTAACTTGGTTTCGAGAGTACACAACTCCTGATGATCCAGACACTCTAGGGCCTGAGGGAATGGAAAAATTTTGTGAGGATATAGGAGTAGAACCTGAGAATGTTGTTATGTTGGTATTAGCATGGAAAATGAATGCTCATCAAATGGGATTTTTTAGTCAGCAAGAATGGCTTAGGGGTCTTGTCGAGTTACAGTATGTTACCCTCGAAATGATTATATATTCTTTCGTCTTTAGTTCTTTGTATACAACAAACATGAAAACTATAATTTTCTTGTTCTATAGGTGTGATACAATCTCAAAACTTCAAAACAAATTGGATTACCTTAGATCACTTTTAAATGATCCTCCAACATTTAAAAGCATTTATAGATATGCTTACGATTTTGCTAGAGTAGGTTTTTTAATTTTGTTCTTGTAGATTTTTTTTTTTATTATTATTATTTAATTGTTAGAGTTGAAAAAATGAATTTTTAATTTTTGTAGGATAAAGATCAACGTAGTATGGATATTGAAACAGCTAAAGCTATGCTCCAGCTACTTTTAGGAAAGCATTGGAGCTTATTCGGACAGTTTAATTTATTCTTAGAGCAATCCAAGTATAAAGTAATTAATAAGGATCAATGGTGTAACATTCTTGAATTTTCTCGTACCAATAACTCAGACTTAAACAATTATGATGTGGATGGAGCATGTGAGTTCGATTTAAGTCAAAATTTACCATTCAATAATCAATTTTATTTGATTAAAAAAAAAAATTATATAGGGAAAAAAAAAAAACATTTCTATCAATTGACAATATTATTATTATTATTATTATTAATATTTTTAGGGCCTGTTTTATTAGATGAATTTGTTGAATGGTTCAGAGGTACCAAAGATGGTCGTCGAAGCTGAATAAATGGAGATATGCATAATAATGCTTATTAACTTGTATTAATTGTGTCATCTTTTCTTAACACCTATGTATAAAGCTTGAAAGCTTTAATATAACTTATAATAGTATTTTAAATAATTTTAAAAGACTTCTGTATGAAAGAAAAAAATTTTTTTTTTTTTTTTTTGTAATTTGGAAATATTTTAAGCATCTCCATTTTTTTTGTGTTCTAGCAAAAAATAATTTTTTTTAATCATATGACATAAGGTCACAGTAAAGTAAATTAAAGAACTGTATGCTGATAATATGTCAGCTTTGTATGATTAATAAATCATTGTATTTCTATTTGTTAATATATTTTTTAACTGCCTTTTTCTTTTGAGCTATATCTATTATTAAAAATGAATTCTCAGAAAACTAAATTTGATTTTAAATAGCTATAACATCAAATTAGATGTGTCTAATTTACAATTACATAAATTTAATTAATAAAAATTTTTTGAATTAAATTTGGCAGATCGAATGCACTAATTAAATAAGTTAAAATGAATTTGTAGGATTAATATAACAATTAATAAAATATGTTGTTTAAGGTATTTATTATAGCCAAAAAATACACATTCAAAAAGTAAAAATATTAAGCTACAAGAGCAGAAGCTGTACTGGATTCATATTTCCAGTTAGGTGGTAAAACTCTTTTCGTTTTGTAATAACGGGCAAGCCTGTGAATTCTAGACTCGACAAGAATAAGTCTAAATTTTGAATCCTTGTCTTTTCTGTTTCTTTCTAAATGCCTTCGAATAGCTACTGCCTTTTTAATTAGGTAATATAAATCTTCAGGCAAGTCTGGAACGTGACCCACAGCTTTCATTATTCTTAAAATTTTGTTTCCAGTGACAAATCTTACTTGGGCGACTCCGTGAGAATCCCTTAAAATTACACCGATTTGAGATGGAGTGAGACCCTTTTTGCCCAATTTGTAGATTTGCTCTTTAACTTCATCGGCCGTTAGTTTCAACCATGTTGGAACCGTTCTACGGTACGGAAGTGCACTTTGGGATATACCCTTACTAAAATAAAAAACAAAAAATTAATTAACTTTGTGTTTCTATTTTAATCTCTTAAAAAATATATATGTATGTCATATATATGCATATATATGTTTGAAATTTATTCATGTGATATTAGGAACAACATTCTTAACTATTTTGACGTTGAATCGAATAATGCATATTATTAAAAAAAAGTAACATAAAAATAAAAAAAAACTACTAAAATAATTTTAAATTATTATTAATGTAAATATTTACCCAGGTGAATGCATACGACCCATGATGAAAGGTTAGTAAATTCGATTTTACGTAAAACGTGTTCTTAACATAAAATGGCGTCCAGCATAATACCACCGTAAGAACTCAAGCTTTTCAGGGCCTTTCTGAGGGCCCTTTTAAAAAGTTATACCTCCGCCATTTTTATTATTTTTAATTGTGGCGGTTAGTTTTTTTTAAATTTTAATTTAATTCAAAATTTTAAATTGTATTTGTATTTTAAAAGTAAAAATTTATAGTGTTTCGTGTAAAACTTAAATTAAGTGACTAAAAAAAAATATGTATGCGAAAAAATTAGGTAATTCTTAATTTAAATTTTAAAATATTCTTTCATGTAAAAAATCGAATAATTTTTTTTATTAATTTTATTTAAAAAAAAAAAAAAAACAAAACACAAAGAGATTTAAAAATTCGACATATCGATTTTTTTTTTTTTTTTTGATTAAGTAAAACCAATTATTCTGTCAGAGACATAACATAAATTTTCCCTTTCAGTAAAAATTTCAACCCCATTGATTACGCTTGCGTTGTAAAAACATTTAAACAACCGTTGTAGGAAACCTCATGTCTTTTTCAAATTAAAGCTCAGTCTTTTCGCGTCCGATGTAAAAGCATTGTCCGTTTTTTTATTGTTTATATAAAATTTATTTTTTCTTACGACATTATCATCATTATTATTATTATATTTAAAAAAAAAAAGATTAATTCAAATGCACTTAAAAAATACCATATTTCATTTTTTTCCCTCCTCAATTCTTTTACCATAGTTAATCCATTTCATATGTTACTTTCCCTATAATCTATTTCAACTTAGCAAACTTTTTTTTTTTTTTTTTGTGAAGTTTAATTAAAAAAATATTATTTAAATAAAAAAAAAAGTTAAATAATAGTTTAAAAACAAGTGAAAAATATAAGTTTAGTGATAAATATAAGTTTAGTGATTTATAACGTAGTGAAACATATGTAAAAAATTACATCAGTTTTAGGTAAGTTCAATTATTTATTATTATTATTATTATTCTTTTGTATGAATGAAAAAAATAATTTATTTATTTAGTCATTTAATTAATTATACTTTAATTTTCCTACAACAATTTATTTTAAAAAATTGTTTGTCGGCGAGAGAATGTCAGGCTACACAACATTATTATTATTTTTTTTAATTTAATGCAATTTAAATTTAATTATAATTAAAATTAATTTGTCATTCATAATCATTCAAAAAAAAAAAAAAAAAACTTTTTTACTTCAAATGCATATACTTTGTATTTTAAATTTCTTAATGTTTTACCACAAATTGATTTAAAAAAAAAAAATTTATGAAAAACAATTAAACTGACTCATTGTGGAAAATTCTTTTCTTTAACTTTACAAAAAGGAAAGAAAAATTAAGAAAACCAACAAATAAATAAAACTTTAACCATTTTGAATTTTTTTTGACAGATTATAAATTTTATTTTATTTCACATTAGAAAAAGAGAGAGAGAGAGAGAGAGAGTGAAAAAAAATTCAATTTATATGCAACATTTGATTTTTATGTCTTTTATTATTATATAAGCTTATGATAAAAAAAAAAAACATGATTTGTTGTTTTGGGAGTATATACAACCAAAAACTTTTTTTTTTTTTTTTTTTAACTTTTCATTTATTATAAAAAATTTGCATTTTAATTTTTTTTTTTTTTTTAATAATACAATGGGGTCTTTGTGTAAATTAAGTCAACCGAATTAAATTAAAAAAAAAAAAAAAAAAAAAAAGTTTTTTTTATATTTGAGTGCAATTACTTGTTTTAATAAGTCTACAATTCAAAATTGGATTCATCATTTGTCTCATATGAAATTTTATAATATCGAAAATTAAAAAAAAAAGTTATTAATCATTATTTTTTAATATCAATAACGTTAATAAAACAATTTTTCTCTTTTTTTATTTTTGTTTAATGAAAATTTTTGTTTAATAAATATAAATTGGGTAATTAACGACTTATATAAATTACTTTTAACTTTATATTTTCGGTTGGGGTTTTAATGTAAATTGTATGTTTTCAAAAAAAAAATTTTTTTTTTTAATTACAACTTTTTGATTTACTTGCCTTATTGAAATTTTATTATTATTATTATTATTATTTTAATATTGTTCGTTGAACTTTTTTATACGCATTAATTTTAATTATTATCGTTACGGTTAAGTCACGCAATGTGAAATTATTAAATCGGCCTTTTTAAAAAAAAAAAAAAAAAAATTTGTTGTTTTTTTCAAAAAATAATTTTTATATATATAATTTTAAAAAGAAAGGAAAATTTTTCATAATTTATTTATAAATAAAGTTATAAAAAAAAAAAAAACTGACTTTTATTTTTTTAAATTTAAATAAATTAAATTAAATTATTAATTGAAACTTTTTTTTAATAATAATAAGGTTGTGTACCAGCGGAATATAAAAGTAAAAATTTATTCTTTTTGTTTTATTTGAAAATATTGGCCGATAAATAAATTTAATAGGTTCAATGAAGAATTAAATAAATTTTTATTTACTTTAACAAAAAAATGTAAAAATTTTGAAGATGATGATGACGTTTGTTTAATCATTTTCAATATTTATCATGTAAAAATATTTAAAAATTATTTTTTTTAAATGAGTTTGTATGGAAGCTCTTAAAATGCATCCATTTTGTTAAGAAATATTCGAAAGGTAAAATTTATTCGAATATAAAATAATTTTATTTATTTGAAAATTATAAAGCTAATATTTTCTTATTGATAACTCAATGAGTGTAAAGATATCGACGTGTTGATACAGGAATACTTTTCATGTTTTGCGTTTAATGCTCGAATTTAAATTTCAATCAAAATAACTTTAATCTTTTTTGAATAAAGGGATTAGAAAAAATAAAAAAAACTTTGTCTTTTACATAGAAATATTATTAATATTTCAATACTTTAGTAAACTAATATTCTGTTGTTTAATTATTAACTCTCTTCGTTTTTATTCATTAATTTTTTTTTTAATTATCAATATAGATAAAATTTATATTAATATTGAAAAAATAATTTCGTTTATAAAAAGGAATTATGTTAAGAGTTGTAGTGGTGTAGTAAAGTATAATACTTTGCTCTTAAGATGTAAATAAAAGGAAAAGGAAATTATTGATTGTAGAAACTGGAATTAGCATTACAATATTTCTTCCTTTTTAAACACCCTCGGGAAGAAAATTATAATCAAGTTTTAAATAATAATAATAAAATCAAATATGATGATGATGATGATTTTAATACGTTTTGAAAAAATTAAGGGCAATAACAAGATGACCCATCACCGCCTCAACCTAAATCATCAACCCGAAGATAAATAAATGAAAGAAAATAAACAAAAACCAAATGGTTGTTTTAAAAACAACAACAACAACGAGAATACCAACAAGAACCAACGCGAATTTTGGTAGTTTTTTAAAACTTTGAAATTTTTCTTATTTGAATTCGAGGTTTAAATTTTTTTTAGCACTTTTTTAATTTTTAAAAAATTGTTTTAATTAATTTTATTTAACTCTCACATGCGTAAAGGTATTATTTAATTGTATTATTATTAATACATAAACAAATAAATGAATTTTTATGGGTACCAACAATAACACTTAATTTAATTATGAAACTAATGTAATTACCATGTGAGAAATTTGAATTTGCTATCAATCATTTCCGTTGGATATTTTAAAATAAATTATTCTAGGATTAAAAAACATAATTTTAATTATTTTGGCTTAATTTTATATATAACAAGAACGATTAAAGGGTTATAAAAAAATTTTTTAAATTTATAATTAAATTCTAAATATGAAGAAAAATTTTAATCTATAACAAAAATGATTCAAGATAATTTTAAAAATGTTACATACAATGAATAGTAATTATAATTTACGTGTATTTAGTTGAAAATTGAAATTTGATTATTAAATCTCATATTACTTTATTATAAAATTAAATTATAAATGTGTAAAAATGGAGGAATTATAAAGAAAGCATAGAGAGGTAAATAAATATTAAATGAGTAAATTCACGTAATTGTTATGATTCGATTCGATTATGGGTTCATAACTTTAATTTTTTCCGCGTACGCGTTTTACTATTGTAAATCATAACAATCAGAATAAACTTGTTAAGAGAGAGAATAATTGTAATTTAAACTAAAAGGTTAATTACGTAATTTATGAATAATAAGAGATAGACTGATTTAGATTTAAGATACAATTAAATATTTACAGAACAAACCAGAAAAAATGGACAAACATCACTCGAAAACACAAAAATATGTGTCAAAAAATTTTTTTACGTCTATGTTTTCATAACAATGTTTATAAACAAAACAATAAATTTCTAAAACCTTCATCCATATGTAACCGTAGTTACAATGTTATTATTATAGAAATGTAAACATTTCCAGACGGAATCACAAAACATAATATATTTTTAACCGCATTCGATAATTTCCTATGTAAAACAAAATCGAGGTTTCTAGAATATACAAGAGATACAAATCTCGCAGTGTCACCACTGCATGAAAAAAAAAAAAATAGAATTAAGAAGACTTGTAATTAACTGTTTTTTTTTTATTTAAAAAACAACAATTACAAGAATTACTATTAATATAATAAATCTTGTTGCCACATTTTAAAATATAAACACATCATTATGTTTTAATTTAACCTTATTCATTTACATTTTAAAATATTTTATTATTAAATTTCAACTATGAATTTTTTTTTTTTTTTAAAAAGACACAAAAGAGAAAATTTTAATTATGAATTATTTTAATGAAATATCTCTCTCTCTCTTTCTTCATTATATCTAAATATTGTTTGTGAGGTTTTTTAAAAAACATTAACGAAATCTAAAATTTAAATAATAAAAAAATGTAATAAATTTTTTACTATATATATTTAACATATAAAACAAAGACATGAATATTTTATCTTTTTATTTATTTATTTATTTATAATTGATTGTTTAT